CAATAAAATAAAATAATAGGTATTTTTTTATTAAATACCTATTTATGCCTAAGCATAAACACCTGGGAGAGAGATCAAGTTCAGAAACTTCTAATTGTCATTACTATATTTTAAAATGTGACTATAATTCTAGAGACTTCCCCATTCTGGTCATTTAATAGTTATGCATGATTGTTATTTGAGAATGGTCTGGTAGTTTGTAATAAGTAGGGAGATGGTAGCTAGGGCAATTCTGAAGTATGTATGCTACTATTTCAATTAAACTCGCAAGATTCCTTTTTCTCACCATGTATATGTATACATCTGAACTAGACTGTGTTGTTTTTCTGGGCCACATATGTGTGTGGGTATGTGCATAATTAATTAATTAATTAATTAATTAATTAATTAATGTCATGTTTATGCAGTGTATATTGGAGGTGGTTACCCTTTGAGAGCTGTTTGCAACGAAATCTCATTTTAATGTATGCTGATTAGTGTACATTTAAAGCAACAATAAAGTTATTATTCTATTCTATTCTATTCTATTCTATTCTATTCTATTCTATTCTATTCTATTCTATTCTATTCTATTCTATTAATTTCAGAGTCAGAGCAGATACATGAATGTTCTTGATAGGGAACAGCACTGAATCTGCCCAAAAGTACTACTGATGGTATAATATTCAGATGTACCAATGTGAAGGCCATCCTATGAGATGGAAATAATACATTTTACAAATATTTAGGAATAGTAAAGGGAGGGTGTGTGAGTTCATTATAGTGGAGAGGTGAAGTATTGATATTATTTTTTTGCAAATTGAGAAGTATTTTTTTTGCTTATGCTCTCTCCAGGTATGCCTTGGCATGTATTTCATCATGCTATGAACAGTGTTTCTCATGTAGGCTGCAGGTGCTAAGAATAGATTATGTCCTACAACTGTAAAATGAAATTCCTATAATGATTTATCAAAAAAAGTATGTTAATTTTGCAACAATACATTTTAAGCAAAAGAATACAGTACTGATGATAATTTGCCAGGCTACATTTGTTAGCTTTCAAAATACAAATAACTATTTCATGTATATTGCTCATTTGTTACATTGTATGTATACCTTTGGCTAGATCAAGATGGCACAAAGGTGAAGGGAAATAGTGTCAGCTGTTCCTGAGCCACATCTTTTTTGGGGGAAGATAGTGCTTCAAACGTAACGTTGTGTATTAGTAGACTAAAAGTATTAACATTAATAGGAGGGGCGTGATGGCTCAATGGTAAAAGACACTGAGTTTGTCACCTGGAAAGCTGACAGCCCGGATTCGAGACCTGAGCGCTCCATGATGGAATTAACTCCCATCCTCACCCCACCTGCTGCCCACCTAGCAGTTTGATAGCATGCAAATGCAAGTAGATAAATAGGTACCAGTTAGGTAACCGAGTTCCATGCATAGTCATGCTGGCCACATGACCATCAAAAGTATTTTCGGACAATGCTGACTTCCTTGGCTAAGAAATGGAGATGAACACTGCCCCCTAGAATTGGATATGACTGGATGGGGGAAAATTTACCTTTACCTTTATTAATATTAATAATGGTAAAAATAGCTATTTATAGTATTAATAACAATATCCAAGGCTCCCTTAAATGGATTACAATTACTATTTAGCATTAAATATGTATCTGCCCTTTTCATCTAATTATTAAAACGATTAAAGTGATTTTAAAAAACTGTTTAAAAACTAGCCAAAAGCAATACCCAAACTGCAAACAACTTGAAAAAGCCTGGATGAACAGGAAGCTTTTGATTGTGAGTTTTATTCAGTTACTGAAGGACTTCTGTGAAGAATCCAAATCAATATAAAACATTTTTAAGAACACTAGTTAACTAGTATAATCATCAGCAGAACTAATGAGCAATAAAAAATACAGCAACATTCAATGTATGTGTTTGAATCTGAGCTTGCTTCTGAAATGAAAGCAGCTCGGCAGTCATCTCAGCCTCCAGAAGAAAGATGTTCCAAACAATGGATGAAAAGGCTCTCTCTTGAGACCTCATGTAATTTATAGCTCTCAACTACAGGATGTAAAGGACAGGCCCTTCAGAAGATCTTAATATCTGGGCAGGTATATGAGCATCTAGCTGACTGATCTAGACTGCATTCAATTTCAGAGTCACCTTCAAAAGCATGTAACATAAGGAAAATTAATGGTACCTGGACTAAGAAGATATATTATGTTAAAAATATGTAAATGTGAACTAAACTACTTCTGGTTCAGAAACTATTGGAAACTTCAAGGTCAGAAAATTTGGCAAAAGAGTCTGAGCTAGTATGGCCACTTTAGCTTTGAACGGCAACAATGAATCTAGAAGAACTTTTATTCCTGATCTTTCAGACAGATTCAGCCTCATCCAAAAGAGGTTGATTACTGGAACTTGGAATGTTGTCCCCATATTTTAAGGGTTCAATTTTTATTGACTTTTATCAAATGCAGTGCTTCAAGCTTAAGATAAGTGGACTGGAAGAAGTTTGTAGGAAGGAAGTTGTTCACATTTCTTCTTTCCAAACTATTGAATATTGAACATAAAAAAGTCAACCCCACTATCTTAGCTGAAAGTTTGTGGATTTAAATGTACAAGTTTAAATATCAGATTTATACTGATTATATCTTTCATATCTTTTGTGATAAAGTATTTTGTCCATTGCCAGCCATTCTTCCCTAGGCCATTTGAACGCTCTGTAACATAAAGACGATCTCATTATTATGTATAAATATACTTTATGTACAATTATTTATTCTCTTATATGATAGTAAAACCAAAAAATGTAGACTTAAGCATCTTACCATATTTTTCAATCAGGGTTCTAGAGCTGCTGAAAATAGCTGTGCAGCCCTAAGCAAGCTCTTTATTTAGCATTTCTAAAAGTGTCATAAGGAGTTAATAAGACCCAGCTGTACAAACTCTTTCTACTAAGCAGCTTCTGTTGCTTTGGTCACCACAGGTATCGCAGTAACCTGTAAACTCTTGTAACTAGTGTATCAAAGTTGTGCTACTTAACAGATCTTAAGTAAAACACAACAAAGCTTTGACATGCTGCTTATTGTCAGTCATAAAAAAAACCCTCCCTCAGACATAGTTTTTTAGACGAGAGTATACCACAATTTTTTGCGACTGTAAAATAAAAGAAACCAGAGAATTAAAAAGAGACTAGAACAATATAACAGCAGGTCATCAACTGAACTTAGCCACTGCAGATGGTTTAGAAATAGGGTTTCCATCCACAGCAAGTTGTGGGATGAAAGGAAAGCAGGGGACTCCCCATTTCTTGTAAATGGCAATAGTATAAGATTAATCCAATCTCTTGCCCACATATTTTGTTCCATTGAAAAAAACCCATAGTTGCTCCATTCATAACTACCTTTGAGACTACATTTACTTTAATGGTAATAAAAACAAATGAATGCCGCTTAATCTCAACCAAAATTAAAGTTAAAATGTGTAAGTTTGTGAACTATTATGCAGAAACACTACATATTTTAATCTTAATTTGGAAAGTTTGCTATGTAGAGTGAGTTGAAATGAAAATAAAGACTCTAATGGGAAAGTGAAAATATCTTTTAAGCCACACCGTATATATTAAATTACAGTTATCATTTACAATGTGAAATGAACTTTTTAAGTGAATAAAAACTAAAAGTTCACTAATCATAAAAAAACTATGATACCTATGTAAAATCAAAGTTCAGACAACATTATTAAATAATATTATGAGGAATGTTTCAATATGCATATTTCATGTATTATGATGAATGTTTTGAAAGAATGAATTGCCAGGTGAGATTTTATATACAATGAAAGGTCTTTGTATCATCTCAAGAGAATATTAAAGCATTTATTATATAAAGCTTTATTATTTTGTTGAAAGTCAAATGGATCAAGTTAAATCAATTTTTAGGCCAAAAAAACCTTTGTGAGGCTAAATTTCACTTGCTATATTGATTAAACTATTTGTGTACGGTACTATAAGTTATTTCTAGCTAGTCACTGGTGCATGAATGTTTGTATATCTAATGTTGTAGTAAACTTGCACATCTATGTTAATAGAGAACCCACATATCTCCTTAGGGTGACTGAAGAGGCAATGACCTCCATGCATCTGACAGATGCCCCTCTAGACAAAATTTTGCAAGTCCTTTCTTCACTAAGTCCCCATATTACAATGCTATGGATCATTACACTCTTTTCCACAGGAAGCTGTTTCTCCCCTCTAAACCATCTGTGAACTCATTTTCTGAATATAGATGCTGATTATACTTCTTAAAAGTTCTATGGCACCAAGAGAGATTGCATCCAGGATACTCCCATTTCTTTCATAAGTCCCTTCATTTCTCCTGTTTTCCCATCTGCTAGTTCCTGCTGAGAGATGGAAAAGATTGGTCTGGAAGAATGATGGAAGAACAGAAGGTGAAAGAAGTTGACAAGGGATGATGTATTCTGAGAGCTCACTGCTTGAAAATAATTCATTGTACAATTAGGACAAATATAAATACCACCTCAAAAGTAGACCATTAAAACATTGCTTTAAATTGATGAACAAAAGGAACATATGTATACATAAACAAAATTCTTGGTATTACTTCAAACTTGAATAATCATACGAATTATTTCTAACAAATGAAAGTATGGGCCTGATTGTATTATAAAAAGTCTTAGAACTCTAAAATAGTTGACTATTTTGCTTGAAAATCTAAAGACTTTAGAATACAGTTGAAATTTCATGAAATTATTCCTCTTTTCTACTCAGTGAATTTTTTCTCCTCCCCCATCCTTATGTACATTCAAATCTATTCTATAACGTTGGAAGACATTCTAGAAAACTGTGAAGGAGATAGTAGGGTTTGTATTGAGGTAAACAATATTTTTGTCCTGAAAGTAGAGTTCTGCTCATGTAGTATTTAGTTTCATCTTAAGCAAAGGTACCAAATTTCTCAGGTTTTAAAAATAATCCATTTCAACTTACCTTGCTCGATTTGCTTCTTTTGTCATATCCCATGCCCATGTTATAAAGTTTTGACTCAGGTAGGAAACAATAGATTCAGCACAAAGCATTTGAGAGCAGAATACATTAGTCAGCACACTTTCATCCTGGTGGAGGTAGACAGCAAGAAGCTTTCTCTGTAAAACATAAAATCAGTATTAGGATAAAGACGGAAATAATTTCCCATAATTTTCACAATATAAATGTAATTCATGTCTTACATCTAATCAAGTATGTATTTGAATTTCAGTAGAACATACTTCACTGTATTTCAGTCTTCATATATAGACTATCCTTATACAATATAAATTCCCTTCAGAAGAGTTATAACCATTACCTGCTGCCTAGAGATTCTGGCAGTTGAAGACTAAGAAAGGAGGTTGGGGAAAGTTGGTATAAACCAGGGTTTCTCAATCTAAGATGTGGCCTTAAACTCATGCTGATTGAGGAATTCTAGGTATTGGTCTACATGTGTTAAAGCTGATGAGATTGAAAAATACTAATATAGGCAAAGCTATCACAAAACAGTTGTTCCTGGTGGAATTACTGAGGAAGTAGATTAAATGAAACCTATTTGTAGAACTTTATTCTTACATTAACAATTTTTTTGTTTGTATTACGAAATGAAAACATGATTATATTTCCTTACGATTATTAATATATTAAGTGCTAATCACATTTGCTGCAAGTATTGTCTGACTGATAACAAGGCATAATTTTATCAGCCTTTAAGTAGGGGGAATAATTCAACAAAGGAATGCTATAGTCAGTGGCAGCCTTATATTTCATATAATATACAGTTCTACTTAATTCTAATAGTGTGTGCCTTAATACACATATAATGTAATCTTTTCATCAAATCTTTCTCATATTTACCAACCACATGCATTTTTGTCATAGCTCTATGGAAACAGCAGTCTTGCTAATCCTATTCGCATATTTGTTTCCTGGTTGATTAAATTTAAGTCTTTTTATCTCATAACTTTCTATGGCTGTATAATTATAATTAATTTACACAATATATTACTAGTAAATAGAATAATTTACATAACTTCCAAGGGAGTATAATTATAACAAACCATCAAATTTGCTCTGAACTACACTAAATAAATTACACTAAAATAAATATCAAATACAAAAAAGAAGAAAAAAATAATATCAGGGAAAATAATAATATCAGAAAATAAACTCAAGGAAAATGTTGGAAGGAGTATGTTTGGTTTTTTTTGGCTAGAACTGGAGAAGCGAAGACTTATACATGTAACATTAAATAAACAAACAAACAAACAAACAAATATTAATATACAAGTTCACATAAAGTACTACCCTGCCTTTTTTTTACTTGAACCATTCTAATTTTCAATTTTCAAAGTTAGAACTGAAATACCATCGGAGAAGATAATGTACCTTATAATAAGGGAATTGCCATGAGAAGCATAGATTATTTTAACAAGGTTCAAAGTTCTGTGAAAAAGAAGGTTTTTTTTGCCATGACCAGCACAGAATCAACATATTCTGATAGAAGTAAAATTTGTTCTTCTCAGTAAACCTACTCCTGTATATAAAAATACCCCAATTTCTTAACATGTCTCTTTATCATGGATATATAATCAATCTTCCATAATATTTTTCCCAATAATAATGTAAATAGTAAACTACTTTGGAATTTGGAATGTGAATTTGCTTGTAATATAGCATATTGAGAAAAAGCATGTAATGGGTTATTGGAAAAAATGGCACTAGGCATGTCCAGCTTAAAAATACTTCTATGAACTATATGCAAGCTATGGCTATCTTTATCCAAAAATAAATAAATACATGGAAAGTTAATACATGACAAATAAATACATGGAAAGTTAATTTGTAATGAATGATTTCTTTTCAATCAATGTTAAAAAAAAGAGTTTGGGAAAATTCTAAGATCTATTTTTAAAAGTATGGAATCATTTGAACATAGACTTTGGAAAAGAGATTAGACATTACATTAATGTTTGTCTCCTTTAATTTAAAAAGTTATTCCAAAGTATACATACTTCAGAAAAGGCCACCAATAAGCCTAACATGCACAGTTCCATATAAGTGCAGCCAACAATGTTGACTGAAACTAAACTTGAAAATCCAGGGCACTAATGCACAATATCAGGCAATAAAACAGCATCTCTGTGGTGATATTTAATTTAAAAAAGAAGAAAGAGGCAGGAGAAGATCAGGCACTGTCTGTTTTGGAGGATCAGCCATTCTGCATTTCAAAGCATGGATCCCTGCAATATCCAGGTTACTGTGCTAGAATCTCCACTATTATATAGCAGTTGTAAGAGAGGGAGGGCAAAGATGTGTTTACTCAGTGATTAGGGCCTTAGAATAAGCCGCTAGCTCCTAGAGAGACAGCTCGCCATTTATTCATTTGGGCCAATTCACAAAGCCTAGAAAGATTAAACATCCATGCTGAGAAGACAAGCGAATGCAGACGGTGAAAAAGAAATAAAAATTCTTTAAAAACTCTTAGATGACTTCATTATTTTTCCACAAGGAAACTTTAGGAAAGTGTTTAGTTAGAGAAAAACCCACATTGACCTCTCCCTAAACCCTTAATCTTTCCTTTGTGGTGGGACTGCTTTGTGGTAAGCGGATGGCTTTGCTCTCCTCTTTTCACTGAAAGCAGAGAGACAGGAAAAAAAAAACTCTTGAGAAACTCCTTTCGTCCCAAAGAAACAACCCCATGAAACTGTTAAATATAAGAGTCCATGTGAACTAACCTTCCAAAATAAGTACAGTTTAAAGCTATAAGTTGGGACCAAATAGTAGAAAACAAGGCAGGTTTACACTTATAGCACATGTAAACAGGGAAATTTATAAAAACTTTTAACAACTACATATGTGGAACTAGCAGATTCACATAGTTTAATTTTGCCAATGATAATTGCAGTTGGTTGCATTTGTCCTTGCTACATATGGGAGAAAAAAGAAACCGGCTCTCCTATAAAAGTTGATTCCATTCAAAGATGGTATAGAAATTCCCCAAAATGCTCTGTAGGATAATTACTATTCCCTATGACTAGTAACAAATCAAACCTACAAACCTGGATTTTCAATAGTAATATTCCTATGTAAAACCTCTATATGTAACATAGTAATTCAAATCTTTACGCTTCCTAACAGAACCTATGTGTGTTATCTGCCTGGATCTATTGCTCTTCCAACTGATTTCATGAAAACATCCAGATAAGTTTGACATCTAAATAGCTGTCTCCAATGCATTTTACAAAGGAATTGCATGGTCTTCACAAAACCAAACTGTTTTGGAAAAGCAATGAAATAATAAAAACTAGAAAAGGACCATAAGTCAGAATGAGGAGGGGTTCTGGACAGGCTGCCTATTCTGTTACTGAAGCCTTTCGGTGAAAATCTCTTAAAGTATTAGGATAATAGGAGCTTTGCTCCTTTAGATCTTCTTCTGTGAGGGGAAGTGAGGTAACAAGATTACTTAAAAGGATATTTTCTATTAAAAGTGTTACTTGGAACAATTGTAACTATTTGGAGAACTTTAGCTTCTACATGTCTATTAAAAAAAAACCAACCCTAGTGGGCTTCGGATGGGAGAAATTAAAACATGCCTGTTTTGGGGGGAGCTTGGGGGGAGGCATTTAGCAAATTTCATTTGAGAGTGCATTCGAAAGAATAATGAGAAAAGTCAGAGGTTAGAATCAACATTTTGTCAACATTTTTGTAAAATCTCCAGCATATGTTTATTTTTGAAAAAGGAGACTTCCCTTGAAGTAGATTTGATACAGAAAACTAGATGTTGTCCTTTAATTTTAAGAAGCCAATTTAGCACATCTAGCTAGAAATAGTGTGTGCTGTAATTAAGAGTAATGCGTTTTTATCTTATAAAATGCAGCTATATTGGTTCTACCAGCTTTAAAAAAAGCAGAAAAATGCAATAATACAGCATATGATGATGAAACATTATTTGGTCAACATACATTTTAGCAAAATGATAGTGTTTGGAAAAAAATATTATAAAATTAGATATTATATATAGCTTGAAAATTCACTTTCAGCATGTTTGGGGCACATTAATTTTAAACTATGGGTATACAAGTATATACTTTTTATTTAACTATGTAAGAGTTATAGGGTAATTATACATGCCTGCTAAATATCCTGTATCCACAGGTTTGACCTATGTATCAGAAGCTACATCTATAGTCCAGCTTCTGCAAATGTATTGGAACTTTCCTTCACTCTCCACATCCTTCATCATATCCTCAGATCTGTTCTGGAGCCTTGCAGTAGGAAAGAATGAATCCATTCTAACAACAAATACATTTGCCAGCAGAATGACTCTACTATACAGAACCCCATGTTGTTTTGGCATATCTTACCGGTATTCCTTCCTCTTAAGAAAATGATTCAAGATTGAGATAATATTTCATATACTCTAAATTATACTAAAGAGCCAGTTTGGTGTAGCGGTTAAGGCACCAGACTAAAAACCTGGAGACCATGTGTTCTAATTCCACCTTAGACTCAAAGCCAACTTGTTGATCTTGGTACAGTCAACCTCTCTCGACCGTAGGAAGGAGACCATGGTAAACCACTCCTGAAATGTTACCAAGATAACTTCAGGGACTTATCCAGGCAAGAGTCAAATAGTGACTCAAAGGCACCAAAACAATGTCAAACAACAAAACCTATAGTCAAGGTTTATTTAAGAACAAACAAGATTTAAATACTTGTATGAATGGACAACATTTTCCACATGCATTTAAAAGAAACAACCAGCACTTAACAGTTAAAGTTGCGTAATGGAATTATAATCCACTAACCACTGGTCTCAGTTGAATGGAAGAAAAAAATAGCCTGAATATTTTTTTCCCACTATAATGAAGCCACCAATTTTTAGCAATTCTAAAAATCATATGTGAATTTTTATAAAAATTTGTTTGTGTGTGCACATCCATTCTATCTACTATGAAAATTTCTACCTACATATGAAGGTTACAAAGGCCACTTAATTGTTCTTTCTAGCTTAATGCAACACAGCCTAAAAGTACAGGCTGAAGAATTCACATGTTGGAAAGATACGGGGTACTTCTTTTCTCTTTTCATGCTGTGTTTCTCAACTTGTCAAGGA